GTCTGGTGGCCAGAGTTCCCTGGATCTAGACTCAATGGGGCTAGGGGGGGGGGGGGGGGGGGGCGGGGGGGGGGCAGCTCCAGCTAATGGAGGCCTGGGAGAGAGGCTACAGTTGATGGGAGCTGGGGGTGGGGGTGGGAGGGAGGCCCATGTGGGGACCCATGTGCTGGAAACAGGCCTTCTCTGAGCCTCACTGAGCAGGCGGCAGTCTACCTCAACCAAGCAGGTGAAGAAGCTGGCCAGACAAGCAGCCGCTGTGCTACCACCAATGCCTTATGAATTCATTTGCCCTGTATAAGGAGGGGAGACACAGGATGGTTACTTTTCATTGCACACTTGAGATCTCTGTGGCTTTATTATTATTAAAAATAATAATTGTGATGGAAATGGGGGGTGGGCTGGGGGAGGGGGGCGGGAGGAGGGAGGACGGGGAATCTGTGGCTGATATGTAAAATTAAATCAAATTATAAAATTAAAAAATAATAATAATTATGATAATTTTGAAGGTAGGGTCTAGGCTAGCCTTAACTTCATGGCAATCCTCCTACCCCAGCCTTCCCACAGCTGAGTTTAATTTTTGGGGTTTTTTTTCTTTTTTTTTTGAGACAGGGTCTCGTCTAGCCCAGGCTGGCTTAGAACTCTCTATGTAGCCAAGAATGATCTTGAATTTTTGATCCTCCTGCTTTTACCTGCTAGTGCTAGGATTATAGGTATGCACCCCCACACAGTGCTGGGGGTCCAGTCCAGGACTTTACACGTGTTAAGGCAAACAGCCTACCACTGAGCTACACCTCCGGTCCATATTTGTGTTTTCAGGATGTGTGTGGTGCATATGTGTGGTGTTGTGTGTGTGTGTGTGTGTGTGTGTGTGTGTGTGTGTGTGTGTATGTGGTATGTGTGTGGTGTGGTGCACGTATGCAGCATGTGTGGTGTTATGTATGTGTTGCATATGTGTGTGGTGTGTGTGTGGTGCATGTGGTGTGTGTATGTGACATGGTGCATGTGTGTGGTGTGTGTGTGTGAGATGCATGTTTGTACGGTGTGTGTGGTATGTGTGGTGCATGTTTGTGTGGTGTGTGTGTGTGTGTGTGTGTGTGTGTGATGTGTGTGTTTTCAGAACGTGTTTCTTAGCACAGTGTCACAGGCCTGTGATGGCAGGAAGGCACTGTTACAGGAGGCTGGTCCCCTGAGCTACATTGAGTTTGAGGTCAGCTCAGGCTACAGAGTGACACCCTGTCTCTCTTCCTCACTCAAGAAAAGATTTGTTTTCTTAGAGTAATTCTTACTTTTCTCCTTCAGGAGCGATCCGTGCTGAAGCTAACCTCCCGAGTCTTCATCACACTCTGTCTCAGGCCATGTAGCACTAGCTTGACTCTGAAATGGCCTTAGATAAGATCTGACTAAATATCCCTCATCTTCTACTATAATGTTGCTTCCAGGTGGATGGAGACCTTATCCCTGTCCCATGTGACCTTCCTAGAACTTAGAGCAGTGTTCTCAACCTTCTTTATGCTGTGACCCTTTAATACAGTGCCTCATGCTGTGGTGACCCCCAAGCATAAAATTATTTTCATTGCTACTTTATAACTGTAATTTTGCTACTGTTACAAATCCTAATGGAAATATCTGATATGCAGGACATCTGATATGTGACCCACAGGTTGAGAGCAATGAGGACTATGGGAAGGTACTCATCAAACCGAAAATGCTCCATCACCATGTGATTCACGGTGCCCACGTTCACCCTGCAAACCTGATCTCTCATAAAGATGCAGCCGCAATGCACACTGGGCTACTACAGGCCTGCTCACACTCAGTTCTCTGAAAATGCTCCCCACCCCGCCTCGACAGGGACTTTTTTGGGTATACCCATGTGGTATATATATAAAAACTACTGCCTGTGGGCCAAATGTAGCCTACCTGACTATTTTTATAAAGGTTTACTGGAATACAGCCTCTCCCATCAATTGGTTGCTTTGGAACAAAAAAGGAAAGAATTGGGTAATTTCAGCAAAGGCTATGCAGCTTGAAAATATCCACCACCGATTCTTTAAAAAGTTTACTGGAAGCAGGTCATGGTGCCCCAGGTCTATAACTGTAGCTATTTTGGAGGCTAAGGAAAGAGGATGCAAGTTCAAGAGAAGCCTGGGCAATGTAGACCCTGTCTCAGAAAAGTAAAAAGGGAGCACTCAGGATGTAGCTCAGTGGGTGGAGCACGTGCCCAGCCTCTAAGAGGCCCTGGGTTCAATCCCCAGCATCCCACAGAAGCAGGGTGTGATGATGCCCGCCTGAAATTCGAGCGCTCGGGAAGTGGAAGGGAAGGTCAAAAGTCATCAGGGGTCATTTGTGTCAGCCTGGGCTATCGAAAAAAATAAGATAAAATAACAAAATAAAGAAGGGCTGTGATCGTAGGTCATAGTAGAGAGCTTATAGAGTGTGCATAAGGCCCCGGGTTCCAGCCCCATCACAGGGAAAACACACAAGGAAACACTGTAAGGTGCAATGGCGGCCGAGACAGTATTTCAGCCTAAGAGTGTGGTAGGCATTGTGCTGAGCATTGCAGGTATATTATCTCATGGAACTGAATTCCCGTTATAACATCATGAGCAGAGTCTGACCTGTGAGGTCCACTGTCTGCCAGGATCATTATGCCCAATGGTAAATCCAGAATCCAAAGCTGGGCCTGGGTCTGTGCACCTCTGGCCTGTGTGCCAGGCTGTATGGCTTTTCCAGGGGGCACATTCTAGCCACAGCTAGCAGAACCCTTGATACTTTTGAGGTTAGCCTGTCTCCTAGTCATCCTCAGAAGACGGCCTAGGGGGTCCTGTTCCTTCTAGCCTGAATACCTACTACCCTCTCCCTCTCCCCTCTCCCCTCTCCCCTCTCCCCTCTCCCCTCTCCCCTCTCCCCTCTCCCCTCTCCCTCTCCCCTCTCCCTCTCCCCTCTCCCTCTCCCCTCTCCCTCTCCCTCCCCCCTCTCCCTCTCCCTCCCCCTCCCCCTCCCCCTCCCTCTCCCTCTCCCTCTCCCTCTCTCTCTCTCTCAGAATCCTACCAGTTCATCAAGGCTTAGTTAAGGTCTCCCTCTCTCAACCAACAGAGTATCGAAGGGCTGCAGCTGCTGCTTAAAAGGTGTATTTTCATTATTTTATCAATGTGTGTCTCTGTGTGTGGGTATGTGCACAGAACGCAGGCGCCTGAGAAAGACAGAAGAAGGGGTTCAGTCGCCTGGAGCTGGAGTTACAGGCAGTAGTGAGCCACCCCACGTGGGTGGTGGAACCCCAGCTTAGGCCCTCTGGGGAAGCTGCCGATGCTCTTCGCCACTTGGCTCTCTCTCCAGCCACCTTATTCTTTTTTAATTTACTCCTCTTTCTCTATCATGAGTCCTGGTGACGGATCCCAGGTCATCCAGGTTGCACACCATCTCAGGCTCGCATGCACTTCTACCCACTGTACCATCTCGCCAGGCCTGCCATGGCCGCCCTGTAGAGCACAGATGGGACTCTTCCTTGTTGTCTTGAGATAGACTATCACTGCATAGCTCTGGCTGCCTTCAAACTAAGCAGCCCCGACTAACGTCCTGCCTTGGAGTAAGTCTTATTAGATGCAGGAATCTTTTTATTTTTCATGTGTTTATTTGTTTTTTCGAGATAGGATCTCACTATGTAGTTCTGGCTGTCCTGGAACTTACTATGCAGGCCAGGCTGGCCTCAGAACTCACAGAAAGCGGCCTGCCTCTGTCTCTGCCTCCCAAGTGCTGGGCAAAGGCATGCACCACTATGCCCAGCTAGAAGAGGCCAGGCAGAGTGGTGTGCACCTTTAATGCCAGCACTTGGGAGGCAGAGTGTGGGGTCCAGCCTGGTCTACATAGTGAGACTATTTAAAAAGAAAGAAAGAAAAGTAAGAGGAGGGCCAGAGAGATGGCTCAGTGGGTAAGGGTGCTTGCTACCAATCCTGACAAACCTGAGTTTGATTCCTGGAACTCACATGGTAGGAGAGAACCAATTCTCAAAAGTCGTCCCCTGATCTCCGCTCTCCCACCCGGGCATGTGGGCACACATCTATACATACAGATACCCGCGTCCACATACACAGAGTAAATAAAATATAACTTTTAAAAAGGAGCAGAAAAGGAAAGCTAGTTAATCTTTTCAAATCACACAAGGCAAGAAACTAAAAAACGAAGTAGATAGAAATAAATGTATTCTTATTGCCCATGTGGGTTTTCAGTGGATATGAATTCTACCACCTAGCTTGGGATCCTTTTGTGATCCCTACTCCTACTTTTTGTTTTTGACGCGGCATCTCGTTGTGTAGTCCAGGCTAGCCTGGATCTCAGGATTCTTCTCTGGCCTCCTGAGTGCTGGGATGGCAGACATACACTACCACACCCAACCTTTTGAGGCTGGTCTCAACTCACGTGCATGCCCTTGACAGGTAGTCATTTCTACCAGGAATTGGGGCAATGACCAATACTAGCAAGCCCCAACGCAAAGTATCTTAGCGTCACTCTGTCCCACGGCTCACTATCCAAAAATACAATCCTAGGCGCTTCAGGTCCTCAATCAGAACTCTGCAATTAGCTTTTTCTAAACTGCCATCCTGGAGTAGGATGACTTGCGGACTCGCCAGGACGCCAGGCAAAGTCGCGGGGCACAGCGAGTGCTGGTCCTCGGCCTTTGCCCTGAGGAAGGATGGATGCAGCGAACTCCTTAGGGATGCTCTCTATGCCGGGTCCTCCCCGGAGCCTTCCCGAGGTGTCACGGGCCCCCCTCGGCAAGAAGGCAAGGCCGAGTCGGGCACCGGGGAGCTCCGAGGACGCTGACCTCAACTTTATTTTTTAAAAATAGCTCGGAGGCCGCGGCGCTCCCGGGAGCCGCCCGCTTCCCCTGCAGGGCTCGGGGTCGCCGGGAGGACGGTGGCCCGGGGTCCCAGTCACAGAGGCGACCCGGGAGGTGAGCGACAGGGACCGGGGAGGGGCCGGGGCCGAAGGAGGCCGCTCACCTTCTTCACCGACAGCGAGATGTTCTCCAGGATTCGGTCCTTCACCTCCCGCGGCTCCATGGCGCCGCCGCCGCCGCCCCGTCGCCGCTTCCCGCGCCGGGCGCCCGGGGCCGCCGCCAACCGCTGCCGCCGGCCGTGCGGGGGCTCCGTGGTGCCGGCCGCGGGCCCCGGCGCCCGCCGCCCTCGCCTCGCCTCGCCCGGGCCTCGCTCCGCCGCCGCCGCCGGCGCCTCCCGAGCGCGGAGCCGGGAAGGAGACGCGGGCTGTGCGCGGCGGCAGGAACTGATGTCAGGCGGGGCGGCGCCAGCACCGGCCGGGAGGGACGGCGGCGACCGGGCGGGTCCGCCTCCTCCGAGACCCGGGGCGGCGGAGACCTGGGAGCTCCTAGACTCGGGCACTCAGAGATCCGGGGCCCGCGGAGACTCGGGGACCTGGAGACCCGGGGATTCGCACAGCCCGGACCACACAGACCAGGGACCTCATAAAGCCGGCGCCGTATAAACCCGAGGACTCACAGACCCGGCACCGCTGAGACTCGGACCTCAGACACCCTGGGACTCAGAGACACCCCACTCCCTACTCACTCCCGCACAACTCCTCAGAGACCTGGGACTTGAGATCTGGAACCTCACAGATCTTCAGGGACGCCCCGCTCAAAGACCCCGGGGACCTCACAGGCCCAGGGCCCCCTCCCAAGTCTTCAGAGACACTGTGTTTTCTCCCACTCCCACCCCTGCACCAGGGCCCTGCACAGGCCTGGAAACTCGCACAACTGCTTAGAGGTCGCCCACTCCCTCCTCGCTCCCATCCCCCTTCCCTGCACCATTCAAAGACCATCCTCCCAGGATCTGCCCAACTCCTTGGAGACCCCCTCCCACTCAGGACCAGCACAGACAGCGCCCCTCCCTCATTCCAAATGGCATTCCTCACCCTTGCCCACAGGGAATCCAGACATACCTGCATACTTGAGAGAATGGAGACAAGGCCTGGCCCCAGTCAGAGACACCTACCCATCTCTTTCCAACCCCTCCATGTATACCCCAGGGTTCAGCGGTTTGGACAGCTTAGAGACCCCAGCACCCAAACTTGGCCCTGACTCCAGAGCTACGTCCTCCATCCTGCCCAACACTGGAATTCATCATGCTCAAAGTCCAGTCCCCAACTTCAGGCCATTGCAAACCCCTGGTGGCTCTCCTACCTCCAAAACCAACCCTTTCCCAGGCAGCCTTCATACCTCCTGTCCTGGCCAGTTTTGTGTCAACTCAACACAGGGACACAAGCTAGAGTCATCTGAAAGGAGGGAACCTCAATTAGGAAAATCCTTCCATAGGAAAGCCCGCAGGGTACTTTCTTAATTAGTGATTGATCGGGGAGGGCCATCCCTGGGCTGATGGCCCTGGAATTCTGTAAGAAAGCAGGCTGAGCAAGTTATTAGAGAAGAAAGCTAGTAGCACCCCCCGCCCCCATGGCCTCCGCATCAGCTCCTGCCTCCAGGTTCCTGCCCTGTTTGAGTTCCTGCCTCGGCTTCCCTCGATGGACTATATAATTCCGGATATATAAGCCGAACAAACCCTCTCCTCTCCAAGTAGCTTTGGTCATGGTGTTTCATGTTTCATCACAACAGTAGAAAAGTAGCTAAGACACCTTCCTACACCCTATTCTACTAAGAGTTTCTCTCCCTCAGCCCGAGACAATTTAAGGGTCGTACACCCTGCCCCAAACTCACCAACTCTACGCTTGGGTGCTGTCTCCGACCATGGGGTTACTTCTCTACGTTTGATCCCCAAATAAACATGCCCTCACAGAGCAGTAAGTCCATTCTTTAATTTTTAGACAGCAGAATTCTCACTCTGGCTCCCTAGTTTTCACTAGTGTGTGCTCAGGCTAACGTCACCCTTAGAGCACTAATTCCATAGCGTATGAACGGAGTAATCCACCCTTCCCTGACCTCCAAAGACAGCCCAAAGATGGTGATAGTTTTAAAGGCTTGTTCCCTAGGAATGGATAAGGGGACAAAATAAACTCTGGAGAAGGAATCTGGGGTCCCTGCATTCCTTACCACTTGGGGCTAGTGGCAGTAAGAGTTCTAGCGCTAATCCTGTGGAAACAGTGTTAGCCAGGCAGCGCACACCTGTTATCGCAACATTTGGGGAGTGGAGGCAGGAGGATCAGGAGTTACAACCCATTCTCAGCTACATAGTGAGGTGAATTATAGGTCAGTCTGGGCTATATGAGACCCTTTCTCCAAACAAACAAACAAAACAACAGCAACCCAAGCAAAAACATTAGTCCATGCCTATAATTCCAGTGCTGCTTTTGTTTTGTTTTATTTTAGGGTTGTTCGTTTGTTTGTTTGTTTGTTTGTTTGTTGAGACAGGATTTCTCTGTGTAGTTTTGGTGCCTGTACTGGAGCTCGCTCTGTAGACCAGGCTGGCCTCGAACTCACTGAGATCTGCCTGGCTCTGCCTCCCGAGTGCTGGGATCAAAGGCATGCGCCACCGCCGCCGCCTGGCCTTATTTTAGTTTTTTGAGACAAGTCTCACTCTGTGGCTCTGGCTGGCCTGAACTCACTATGTAGACCAGGTTGGACTTGAACTCACAGAGCTCTGACTTCCCCTGCTTTCCCAGTGCTACGATTGAGGATGTGTACGTCCACACCACTAGATCCAGTACTAGTTTTTGAGCCAGGGATCTCACCCTAGCCCTGCCTGGCCTTGAATGTGAGGTGATCCTCCTGCCTCAAACTCCCTGAGACAGGCACCTCCATGATCAACTGGAAACAAGTGTTTCCCACAGAATCTAGACTAGGACTCCAGGAATCACTTGGATGTTTTTCTGAGCCCATGACCCATTTTATGTTTTTGTAGATTGTTCTAGCAGGCCACCCTAAGGACTTGGTCTAACCTTTAGGGAGAAAACTAGAGTCTCTATAGCAACTGAAGCCAGGGAGTTTTTAAATTTGTATTGAACTCAGCAAAGTAAGAGTCACCATGGAACTGGGTAGAGGACATATCAGTTGGGGATCAAGGTTGTATTTATTGCCCAGGTAAAGAAAAGATTGAGCTGGGCAGTGGCGGCGCAGGCCTTTGATCCCAGCACTCAGGAGGCAGAGGCAGGCAGATCTCTGTGAGCTCAAGGCCAGCCTGGTCTACAGAGTGAGATCCAGGACAGGCTCCAAAACTACACAGAGAAACCCTGTCTCGAAAAAACAAAAAACAAAACAAAACAAAAAAGATTGAGCGCAGCGGACACATTACATTAAATGATGAAATAGACAGATGCTTGAATGAATGACTCCCTCCCAGTCCATCCTAGCCAGAGTGCCTACAGGGCCCAACCTGTGAGACACAGGCCCAGCTCTTGAGAACCGCTCGGACCAAAAGTGTGACCAACGAGCTCTGTCACTCTCTGCTGCTGAACGTGAAGTCACCTGCTCGGCACCATGGTCCAACATGTGCCTCTTCATGGTTTAGACTCAGGACAGATTCTGTGTGTGTGTGTGTGTGTGTGTGCGCGCGCGCGACTCACCATTTTATGCTGAGGAACACTATTCACCTCCTTTGAGACAAGGTCTCTCATTGGCCTGCCACTCACCAGTTAGTCTAAATGGCTTCTGCCTTCCCAGTTACGGGGTTAGAATCATGTATCACAAGGTTTGGAGCTGGGGAAAGGGGCAGTGTCCTTACACAGGCAAGTGCTTTGCCCACCAGGCCACTCCCAACTCCCTACCTCCTTTTGATTTTTGGAAACAGTATTTCATGTAGCCCAGGCTTTCCTCTAACTCCCTAAATACTTTAACTTCTGATGGTTCCAGGGGCTGGAATGGCAGGCTTGTACGTCACATCTGATTTATACGACACTAGGTGTGAGTCAGGGCTTTGGGCTGGAGAGATGACTCCATAGTTAGTAATGTTTGCTTCGCTACATTGTACATTATAGAGGACCTGGAGTTTCCTTCTCAGTACCCCTATTGGCTCACAGTGACCTGTGACTCCAGCTCCAGGAGGTCTGGTCTACACAGGGAGTTCTAGGCCATCCAGGACTACATAGTGAGACCTTGTCTTAAAAAAATAAAATAGGGCTGGAGAGATGGCTCAGAGGTTAAGAGCACTGACTGCTCTTCCAGAGGTCCTGAGTTCAATTCCCAGCACCCACATGGTGGCTCACAGCCATCTGTAATGAGATCTGGTGCCCTCTTCTGTGTATATAATAAATAAATAAATCTTAAAATAAAATAAAATAAAATAAAGTATAAATAAAAATAAAACACAAAAGAAAGCAAACCAGAGCTTTGACAGTCTACCAACTGAGCAACATGTCTAGCTCAATAGATATTTTCATTCTTTGACTGTGTGCTGGGAGTTATGTGGAAGGTGGTGACATTTCTCCCAGGCTGCTGCATCTGCACCTGTTGGGGGACTATGGTCCCAAACAACTTTTTACAGCTTTTGGAGGAACATATGTTCTCTGCCTCTCAGCGTCCCAAGGTGTTCTGGGCTAAGTGTGTATCTAGGAGAAGAGACCACACGTGTGTTCACAAGTAGGCCACTGCACCATGCTTTGAGTTTAAAAACAGGCTCTACCCTGGGGCTGGAGTGATGGCTCAGCCGTTAAAGGCTAGGCTCACAACCAAAAACAGGCTCTACCCTATCAAAAACAGAGTCCCTGGAGAGATGGCTCAGCACCAGCTATTCTTCTAGAGAACCTGGTTCGATTCCTAGCACCCCCAACAAATATCTATTAGCTTCAATTCCAGGGGACCTGACATCTTCTGGCCTCTAGGGGCACCAAGCATGCACGTGGTGCACAGACATACACAGAGGCAAAACATTCACACCCGTAAAAATAAAGATTGAAAAACAAATATAAAAAATAACGACTCTGGGAAGCCCAAGAGACCTGCCGCTGTGAGTTATGCAGCTGGAAATTGAAAACCAGTCCTTGATTACACAACACTTCCCTGTCACATGAGCAGCTCATGAGACTCTGAATCAAAAGCATCAAAAATCAAAAGCCTGTGCTGATTCATGCCAGGGCCTCAGGCAAGACACTTGCCCTGGTTTCCAAATCAATGACACAGAAAAAAGGATTGCAAAGCCAGGTGTAGTGGCACAAGCCTGTAATTCCAGCACTTG